ATTTAAAAAAAGAATTTTGCATGAAATTAAAAAAAAATTGCTATATTAAGACAAAAAGTTCAAGATACCAAAAGAATATAATTAAGAAAATTTTTTTAATATCAATTAAATTTCTTTTTTTAAATTGAGCTAATTGCTCAATTTGATTATAAATATCTAATATTGTTCTTGTATATGCAGCAAAGTCATCCATTGATTATTTTTAATTTGCTAATTTTTTAATTTTTAACCTTTTGGAACTAAATTGTTATATTTTTTAATGTTTGAGAATTAATATTATAAATATTTTATTCTTCCTTTAATCATTAATTTATAAACTAAAATTTTTAAACCTTTAAGTTTAGAATTTAAAACTTTTATAATATAATATGAAGAGTTAAAAGTTTCAAATTTAATAAGATAAAAGGGCTATATGTATATTTTAGCCAACCTAACTATTCCATGTGGCTGGCACAATGGGGTTACTTAATCCTCTTGCCTTCTCTATTCTTTTTCCACCAATTGCTTTATGTAAGTAGTTATTTGGCGTTTCTATACATTGTGATAAGGATTGATAACGATTGATAACGATTATTCTTTTAAAATTTGTATTTAACTTGTTTTCAATATTTGTTTAGATATTTATAATTTAAGTGTATAATTGTATAACAAATATCTATTATTTCGTTGCACTCGTCATCTATTTATACTTTTTCATGCTTAATGAAAAAATATCTCATTCAATTATAAACCTTTGTATATTGTAGATATTTAACCTTTTTTTAAATAATTAGTATAAACTTTGATTTAACATATTTATCAAGACTTTCAAATTCAGTTATTAAAATCTATAGTTAAAAATTTTCTCCACTTGAATTTAAATTTAAAAATAAAAATTTTTTAATAAATATATTAAATTAAAAAATATACTAATTATTTTTTTTTGTATATATAATTTTTCTTTTACGAGATAGGCTAACTAAGTTCAACCTTATGGAAAAGAGAGGCCGGAAAGGAGCATGAAGGTTTGAACCTTGCCCGCATGTATAAGGAAATGCCTTTTTATTAATAATTTGATCAATTACTTTATAAATTTTTTTTAAACATTATTATTATTATTTTATTTTATTTATTAAAAAAATTATTACTACTATTTATATATCAAACCAATAACGTTATCTAAATATGTTTCAATTAGCTAGCTCAAATGGTAAGGAATAAGGAACATATTAAAATTTGTAGGGAATGAGGGATTCGGAGCTCGAACCCAAATTCTTTTCCAAATATGAACACTTGTAAATAATCTACCGAACATACGTGTGGCCAAATTTTCTATAAGGTTCCGAGAAATCCATATTCCATAGTAAGAAGATAATAAGAGTAGAAATAATACGATGTTGCTATGGGAGTAAAAATTTACACTGAATTTACATGAAACACAGCAAATGGATGTAGTTAGGGATAATAACAGGTCCCCACGAAGATAGAGACCCCCCCATCCTCATCTTCGCTTCTGGTTGGTATGAAGATCCCCATGAAAATTTTTGGCGGGGGGCAAAAATGACCTCCGTTCTCATTATGGAGACTAATAAGTCCTTGCGAGTATGTAGAGTCTCCATCAAATATTAAATATATGGAATTTAATATTAATTTTTTCTTAATAAAAAAATAAAAATTTAAAATAATTCAAACAAGTAAATACATTAACATACAGTACAGCAAAACAATATTCAATTACCAGTTGCAGGAAATACACATTGCCATGCACACCCAATAGGTCTAGCAATAAGTTCATAAAAAAATGCATGAACTGCCATATATATCCAGCTTAGGTTGGGTTATTGAATTGTGTATTGAATTGTGTTTGGAAAGCCTGAAAATAGAAAAAGAATTAAGCTGGGCATTTTAAGTTGATTTGGATTAGCCAATTGGGTTGTGTGAGTAAAAATCAATTGGTAATATATTTACAAAAAATATATATAAGAATAAATTTATATTTTTTTATTATATATAAATCTGCATGCATCTCTATGGGGTAAAAGAAATTCCCATGAAATTCACAAGGAAAAAAATGTCTCCATTCCCCTTTGTGAAAAGGAATATTCTTAAAATTTTCATTCTCGCAATGAAAATTTTCACAAAGTTTTACAAGTTTTGAAGAAAATTGTTATCCCTAGATGCAGTCAACGTTGTTCTAAAAATCGACCCGCTTATGAACATCACGTGGCAAAAAGAAAAATATTAATCACCCATTTCATTTGGCAAAGATGGATACCATGTATGGAAATTGAAAAGTTCACCCATTTCAATTAAAATGTGGACCGCACCTCCTTTTTCCATAACAATGCATAATGACTTTTCTTTTTGGACTCATGAAATTAATGCTCATATTTTTTTTTTTTTTGAAAAGCAAAGAAATTATATTAATGTGAGTACAAGGGGTACTCAAACCCTTAAACATCAGTGTGTAAAGCTATTGGTAGCATTGTGGACTAAATTCAAAAAGCCAAGAATACTCCATAATAAGACACTTAGTCTCCAATTCCCT